AGATCAACAAAACTAAGAGCTGGTTCTTTGAAAGAATTACTAATAAAATTGATAAACCCCTAGTCAGACATACCAAAAAGAAAAGGACCTAAATAAATAAAATCATGAATGAGAGAGGAGAGATGACAACCAACACCACAGAAATAGAATTACAAGTGAATATTATGAAAAACTATATGCCAGCATATTGGACAACCTAGAAGAAATGGATAAATTCCTAGAAACATATATATATTACCAAAACTGAAACAGGAAGAAATAGAAAATTTGAACAGACCCATAACCAGCAAGGAAATTGAATCAGTAACCAAAAATATCCCAACAAACAAAAGTCCAGGGCCAGATAGCTTCCCAGGGGAATTCTAGCAGATATTCACTTCCTTAATTAATTAATTAATTAATTAATTAGAGAGAGAGCGCGCGCTCGCAGGGGGAAGGGGAAGAGGGAGAAAGAACTCAAGGAGACTTCCTACTGAGCACAGAGCCTGACGCAGGGCTTGATCTCATGATTCTGATATCAGACCTGAGCCAAAACCAAGAGTTGGGTACTTTAACCAACTGTGCCACCCAGGCACCCCTCTGCCAGACATTTAAAGAATAGTTAATGCCTATTCTTCTCAAACTGTTCCATAAACTAGAAATGGAAGGAAAACTTCCAAACTCATTCTACAAGACTAGAAATGGAAGGAAAACTTCCAAACTCATTCTACAAGGTAATCATAAATAAATAAAAAAAATTTTAAAAAATCAACATGATATATTACATTAATATATAATTATATATATAATATATAATAATATAATATATATTACATAATATATATTATACATAATATATTTTTAAAGATTTATTTGTTTAGGGATCCCTGGGTGGCACAGCGGTTCGGCGCCTGCCTTTGGCCCAGGGCGCGATCCTGGAGACCCGGGATCGAATCCCACGTCGGGCTCCCGGTGCATGGAGCCTGCTTCTCCCTCTGCCTGTGTCTCTGCCTCTCTCTCTCTCACTGTGTGCCTATCATAAATAAATTTTAAAAAAAGATTTATTTGTTTATTTGAGAGAGCGAGAATGAGAATGTGCATGTATGTGAGTGGGGGGAGGGGCAGAGGGAGAGGAGAGAGAATCCTTTTTTTTTTAAAGATTTATTTATTTATTTATTTATTTATTTATTTATTTATGATAGACAGAGAGAGAGAGAGAGAGAGAGAGAGAGAGAGGCAGAGACACAGGCAGAGGAAGAAGCAGGCTCCATGCAGGGAGCCCAACATGGGACTCAATCCCAGGTCTCCGGGATCACACCCTGGGCTGAAGGCAGCGCCAAACCTCTGAGCCACCCGGGCTGCCCCCGTATCCATTCTTGATAAAAACCTTCAACAAAGTAGGTATATATGGAACATATCTCAACATCATAAAAGTCATATATGAAAGACCCACAATTAATATCATCCTCAATGGGGAAAAACTGAGAGCTTTTCCTCTATGATCAGGAACAAGACAGGGATGTCCATTCTTATCATTACTATTTAACATAGTACTAGAAGTCTTAGCCTTAACAATCAGACAACAAAAAGAAATAAAAGGCATCCAAATAGGCAAGAAAGAAGTTAAGCTTTCATTATTTGCAGATAATATGATACTCTATGCAGAAAATCCAAAGACTCCACCAAAAAATTGCTAAAACTAATATATAAATTCCAAAAAGTTACAGGACATAAAATCGATGTACAGATATCTGTTGCATTTCTATACACCAATAATGAAGCAGCAGAAAAAGAAATTAAAGAGTCTATCCCATTTACAATTGCACCAAAAACAGTAAGATACCTAGGAATAAACCTAAGCAAAGAGGTATAAGATCTGTACTCTGAAAACTACAGAACACTTATAAAAAGAAATTGAAGAGAACACAAGGAAATGGGAAAAAATTCCAAGCTCATGGATTGGAAGAACAAACATTGTTAAATGTCTATATTACCCAAAGAAATCTACACATTTAATGCAATCCCTATCAAAATACTAATAGCATTGTTCACAGACCTAGAACAAACAACCCTAAAATTTCTATGGAAGCACAAAAGATCCTGAATAGCTATAGCAACACTGGAAAAAAATGGTGGCATCACGATTCTGGATTTGAAGCTATATTACAAAGCTGTAGTCATCAAGATGGTATGGTACTGGCACAAAAACAGACACATAGATCAATGGAGCAAAACAGAAAGCCCAGAAATGGACCCTCAACATTATGGTGAACTAATCTTTGATGAAGCAGGAAAAAAATATCCAATGGGAAAAAGAAAGTTTCTTCAACAAATGGTGTTGGGAAAACTGGACATCCACATGCAGAAGAATGAAACTGGACCACTTTCTTACACCACACACAAAAATAATTCAAAATGGATGAAAGACCTAAATGTGAGACCAGAAACCATCAAAATCCTAGAAGAGAACACAGGCAGCAAATTCTTTGACCTCGGCTATAGCAACTTCTTTCTAAACAGGTCTCTGGAGGCAAGGGAAACAAAAGGAAAAATGAACTTGACTTCATCAAGATAAAAAGTTTCTACACAGCAAAGGAAACAATCAATAAAACTAGCAGACAGCCTATAGAATGGGAGAAGGTATCTGCAAATGACATATCTGATAAAGGGTTAGCATCCAAAATCTATGAAGAACTTACCAAACTTAACATCTAAAAGACAGATAATCCAATTTAAAAATGGGCAGAAGTCATGAATAGACATTTGTCCAAAGAAGACATCCAGATGACTAACAGACACATGAGAAGATGTTCAACATCACTCATTATGAGGTAAATACAAATCAAAACTATGATAACACCTAACAACAGATGTTGGGGAGGATGTGGAGAAAGACGAACCCTCTTACACTGTTAGTAGGAGTACAAACTGATGCAGCCCGACTGTGGAACAGTATGGAGGTTCCTCAAAAAGTTAAAAATAGAGATGCCAAAAAAAAATAGAGATGCCTGGGTGGCTCAGTGGTTGAACATCTGCATTTGGCTCAGGTTGTGATCCTGGAGTTCTGGGATCAAGTTCCGCATCAGGATCACTGCAAGGAGCCTGCTTCTCCTCTGCCTATGACTCTGCCTCTCTCTCTCTGTATCTCTCATGAGTAAATAAATTTAAAAAAAATTAAAAATAGAACTACCCTGTGATCCAGCAATTGCACTACTAGGTATTTACCCAAAGGATACAAAAATACAGATTCGAAGGGGTACATGCACCCCAATGTTTATAGCACCATTATCAATGATAGCCAAACTACGGAAAAAACCCGTCAGTGTCTATCGATTGATGAATCGTTAAAGAAAATGTGAGATATATATACATATATATATGAATATTACTCAGCCATCAAAAAGAATGAAATCTTGCTATTTGTAATGATGCGGATGGAGCTAGAATGCATTATGCTAAACCAATTAAGACAGAGAAAGACAAACATGATTTCACACATCTGTGGAATTTAGGAAACAAAACAGATGAACATACAGGAAAGGCGAAAAAAAGAGAGGGAAGTAAACCATAAGAGACTCAACTATAGAGAACAAACTTAAGGTTGATGGAGGGAAGTTTTTTTGTTATTATATATATATATAATATACAATATATATTTTATATAATTTTATAATATATAAAATATATTTTTATTAAAGTTCGATTTGCCAGCATATAGCATAACACCTAGTGCTTATTCCATCAAGTGCCCCCCTCAATGCCCATCACCCAGTCACCCCATCCCCCTGCCCACCTCCCCTTCCACCACCCCTTGTTCGTTTCCCAGAGTTAGGGAGTCTCTCGTGTTTTGTCACCCTCTCTGATATTCTCCACTCATTTTCCCTCCTTCCCCCTATAATCCCTTTCACTATTTCTTATATTCCCCGTATGCGTGAAACCATATAATGATTCTCCTTCTCCGACTGACTTACTTCACTCAGCATAATACCCTCCATATTCATCAATTTATTTATGACAGAGAGAGAGAGAGAGAGAGGCAGAGACACAGGAGGAGGGAGAAGCAGGCTCCACGCCGGGAGCCAGATGCGGGACTCGATCCCGGGACTCCAGGATCGCGCCCTGGGCCAAAGGCAGGTGCTAAACCGCTGAGCCACCCAGGGATCCCCGTATTCGTCGTTTCTAATGGCTGACTAATATTCCATTGTATATACAGACCACATCTTCATTATCCATTTATCTGTCAGTGGATACCAAGGCTCCTTCCACAGTTTGGCTATTGTGGACATTGTTGCTATAAACATTGGGGTGCAGGTGTCCCAGCATTTCCCTGCATCTGTATCTTTGGGGTAAATACTCAGTAGTGCAATCCCTGGGTCATGGGGCAGATCTATTTATAACTCTTTGAGGAACCTCCACACAGTTTTCCAGAGTGGCTGTACCAGTTCACATTCCCACCAACAGTGCAAGAGGGTTCCCCTTTCTCTATATCCTCTCCAACATTTGTTGTCTGATGGAGGGAAGTTTGTGGAGAATGGGCACCCATTTAGGGTGATGGATATTAAGGAGGGCACTTGTTATGATGAGTATTGTGTGTTGTATGTAAGTGATGAATCACTGAATTCTATTCCTGAAACCAATATTACACTATATGTTAACTAAAATTTAAATTAAACTAAATTAAATTTAAATTTAGAGGAAAAAATAAAGTTTAGGACTTAAACCACTATAAATAGGCTATTCTGTTAGCTGTAGTTAAAAGTATTCCTAACTGATACAATGATCAGGTTCATTATAAAATATACCACCACTCTTTAGGTGTGTTAATTCATTCAATTAGTTTATAGTCAAATATTAATTGGTCTGGGATATAATTTGCATATCTCTACTTGATTTCAAGTTTCACTTTCAGAGGCTGCCCTAACCTCTCTCGTTTCTAATTCCACTACCCTAATCATGCAACCACTTCAACTGTCACAGCACTGAATACCTCAGGTCTGCTTTCCCAGCACTCCTTTCCCTGATCTGTTACTTCTTCCAAATCTTTCCAACTTGTGCGAGGTTGCAGGCATTTCTGAATCAAAATAATCTCTTTTATTGAGATAAATAATTGATTTCATTGTTGAAAGAATCAGAATACAATTGATGCTATCATCAACAAAAGCTATTAGAATTCCATTTGTGGGAGTTTGGATACTATGTTCATTTACTTATTCTTTATCTTATTCCAGTTTCAAGAGGTAAATGTAAGATGTTTTAGGCTTTTCCTTTGGTGGTTTCTTACCTAACAGAGGAACAACAGTAGTCCTATATTTCCATTTGTCCTATTTATTCTTTGTTCCTTTTCCCCTCTTTTCTCGTCTTCCTTTGGATTATGTTTTGAGTCCCTCTTATCTCCTCTATTGACAAATTACCCACACCTTTTAATTTTTTTCAGCAATTGCTCTAAGCTTTACAATATGCATCTTTAACTTATCACCATCTACCTTTGAATGTTACAGCATTTAACACACAATGTAAGAATCTCTTAATGATATACTTGCATCCTATCTCCTCTATTCTTTCTGCTATTGTGCTCATAAATTCTACCTCTATAAATGTTATAAATCCCATAATATACTGTTTTTATTTGTACTTTAAGTAGTTCTCTCTCTTTTAAAGATATTACAAATAAGAAAAATGTCTGTTATATTACTCACATATTTACCATTCTTTTGTGTAATTCATGGGTCCATCTAGTATCCTTTTCCTTCATGCCTAAAACACTTCATTTAGCATTCCTTGTAGTAGAAGTTCACTAGCAATGAATTCTCTTGGCTTTGGCTCAACTGAAATGTCCTTATTTTGCCTTCATCTTTGAAGAGCATTTTCATTGGATACAAAATTCTAGGTTGACAGTGTTTTTCTTGTAATACTTTTAAGACATTCCACCATCTTCTGGTGTGCATTATTTTTGATGACATACCAATGATTAATCTCATCTTCAAGATTTTCTCTTTATCACTGGTTTTCATAAATTTAATTCTATAGTGCCTTGATGAGGTTTCTGTTTATGCTGCTTGTGGTTCACTGGGATTCTTGATATGTTGAAGAGAATTTTCAGCGGATTCAGAATAATCTAGAAGTTGAACAAGATAATTACAAAATTGTACACTGTGTTTCATTCTTAACATGTTGTTAAAGGTAAATGAAGAGTGCTTAACCACTATTCGCAGCTCCTAAGCAGCTTCTTTTTAACCATGGTTTCAGAAACCAGGTACTGAAAAGAAAGTTTGGGAAATTGTTCTGTCTGCTGTCCTGATCAGATTCTAAACACTGTAATTGCATAATTTCCCTCTATGTGGCATAACTGTAAAATACCTGTAAAAAGGAGAAAGGAAAAAAGTTGTGTGAATTAGTATGTTTTGCATAATGGCCTTTTCAACATTTTCTCCTATTTTCACTAAGCTGTTTCTTTTTTTAAAAAATCTCCAGGTATGGTTTATAGTTGAATATTAATCGGGTTGTGGATGAGGTCCACTTCTAAAGTGAGACAGAGCTGTAAATAATTTATCCTGGGGATGTGTTCTGGATTGGACCTTGTCAACATGATATCTGGCCAGGCAGATAACACTCCAGGCAGAGTATAATAAGGATTACAATACTGATTGCCCAACCTCTATAATGATTCCTGATTCTATGACCACTGGGGCAGGCCTTGTTGGTTGGCAAATGTTAAAAGAATTACTGCACAATTATTATTCATGAGGAAGGTCAAAGCTTCATGATAAAGGGCAACAAATAAGAGAATGATCCTGCATAAGGGCAGGATAAAAATAGGGTTAGAGATAAATCCTTCTCTCTCCTTACTGTACCATTCATAGTTATTATTCCTAATTCAAAAATTATTATATTTCTTGACGGGCACGGAGGGGGACACTTGACGGGATGAGCACTGGGTGTTATTCTGTATGTTGGTAAATTGAACACCAATAAAAATTAATTTATAAAAAAAAATAAATAAATAAATAAAATCTTTAAAATTAAAAAAAAAATTATTATATTTCTTATATCACCAGCTAGACAGAAAGGAATTAACATAAAGAGGGTACCTACTATATTCTAAGCACTCTATGAAGGGTTTTGATAACATTATTTAATATTTACAACTATAGGAGGAGGAAACTATCTAACTCCATGTTACAGATAAGCACATTGAGATTCAAGAACCTCCAAAATCACACAGCTGGTAACTGGAATTTGCCTCTAGGTCTGCCTGGCCTCAAAACTTCCTGCTTTAGCTGCCACACAGTGCATTCAGCTCCATCTTCTAAAAAGGACTTTCTGCGGGGTGCATCACTGGCTCAGCTGGAGAAGTATGTAACTCTTGATCTCAGGGTTATGAATTTAAGACACATGTTGGGTGTAAAGATTACTAAAAATAAATAAACTTTTTTTAAAAAAAGTACTTACTGAGTCAACTATCCTTTGGCTTCATGTCAACAGGCTGGCATTCTCTAAGTCACTTGCTTAGATGGAAAAACCCACTCCTCCTGTCACATGATTGAGTGTGTACACTATCTATAAGGGAATAATATGAATGAAGAGCTATGGACCATTTTCAAAGTACTGGGATAGTGCTTGCCTCAGACAGAGTGATGATATTGCCGTGTCCCAGATTCACTGACAAGATGTTCAGAAGGGAATCCTCCATGAACACAAAGTCCTGTGGCCTCTGGAACTCTCCTGTCAAGAAGTCTGGATTGGAGCAACTGCTTGCAGCCTCTTAGGTGGCATGGATCTCCTAGTGAGCTAATTGTTTACTTGTCTCACTCAGGCTGTAGGTACTCCTGATCCATATTGTAGAGTCCTACTTATCTGTCCCATCCTTGGGACAGGGGGCAAGGGCACGTGGCAGAGGAGGAAGGCTTAGAAAAAGGAAGAAATTGAGGAGACTGGAACTGTCAAGACCAAGCATTCTTTACTGTATTAAAACAGGGCATGTGCTAATGAAACTTAATTTGTGAGAAGTGGACCAAATGTGTGGAATATTCACAGTTTTCTGCCTGAACTCCAGCCTTAGGACAGTATTTTATATACTAGCTGTTTTGTAGTTTTCTATTTTTGCCATAATATCTATGAGATATAGCAAAAGATCTCTTGACTTAGAATCAGGAGACCTCAGCTGTATTTCTGACTCTGCCACCTTCTAGCTGTGTGACCTTAGACAACTACTTTACCCTCTCTGGGCTTCAGTTTCTTAGTTATTAGATGAGAAATTGGTACTAGTGACTCACTATCATTCTACGTTTCTGTGGTGACAGAAATCTCAACAGTGAGGCTGGAAAGCTTATTATTCCAGATTATATTCATCTAGGCTAGCTTTATTTAAGTGGCTGATTTCATTCCAAGTTTTCCCTGAAGCTATGGAATAGAAATCCATAATGAACCATTTTTTTAGAATAACAACAAATACCTTTTTAATTTAATAAAATCTAGATGACAAAACAGAATATATATTTAAAAATGAATTATAATATATAGTAATTAAGACTAAATGAAATCACATCTGTAAAATGCCAAGCAAGGCACGCCATGCACAATAGGCACTAAGAAATGCTAGTTGCATGTATCATTTCTTCCTATCCTATAGCACCCTCCTATAATTAATCTTTTAAGGAGACCTTAAAATATATTACAGTTCTGGGACACATAGGTGGCTCAGTGATTGAGCATCTGCCTTTGGCTCAGGTTGTGATCCCAGGGTCCTGGAATTGAATCCCACGTCAGGCTCCTGCAGAGTCTGCTTCTCCCTCTGCCTATGTCTCTGCCTCTCGCTGTGTGTCTCTCTGAATAAATAAATAAAATATTTTAAATATATATTATGTATATATTTTATATATATTATACAATATATATATAAACAGTTCTCTCAATTCTATGGTTCTGGGTCCCCTTTTGATCTTCTTGTACCCTTTCTCCTACTTCCATCATCTCTTCAAAAGGAATGACTCACCCTCTTATCCTCTACCTCCAGAATAAGTTCTCAGGTAATAACCTCTGTTGTCTCTAGCAGAATATGCCCAATATCTGCTCACATCAGGGTCAGACCATGGATCTGTTCCTTGTTCCTCAGGTCAGACAGACACTGCTTGGGTGGAGTTCACTCCCTTTCCCTTCCTTCTTTGAAGTATCCTCTATTTTCCTGGATTCACAGTTAACACTTAATTGCCAGTTTATGAATGGTACAAAGATTAGTAAACTGGATTCTGAACTTGAAAATCTATCGCATGTACCCAGGGGCCATAGGGAAAAGAGGGGGTGTCTTATACTTTGTGTACTAACAGGCAATTATTTCCTATGATCTTCCTGAGTAACCTCCATACCCAGATTCAAAGAGCTGATACTTTTGGAGACTTAAGGATGGCTGACTGCACTTTGCAGGTTTCCTGAGTATTTGTAAGGGGTTAGAGCCTTGATCCCTGCACTGAGAGCTGGGCAGTTGTCTTCCCTTCAGACAGGACTTCAGAAGGGGAGAGAGAGAGGGTTGCCTAGAGGAGGCAGGCGACACTGGATGGGTGATAAACTGTGTAGCTGCCCCCTCAGTTCTGATTGTTCTGTCCCTTTTGTCTAGGAGGCTGGATCCTTTCCATCCATAACTACAACCTGTAATGTTTAACTGTAATCCCCTGGAGAGCAGGGACTAGGCCACATTTATTTCATATTCCCCAAGCACAGTGCATGGGAGGAAACAGACCTTAATAGATGTTTGTTAGATGTTAAATTAAAAAACAGGCTTTTACTGACCTTTAAGTGCAGACAGACCTCAAGGTGGCCTCCATGATCCTGTCTACAGTTGTTTACGCTTTTGTGTGATCCTCTCCGCTTGTATATAGGCAGCACCTGTGACTTGCTTTGAATCAAGAGAATATAGTAAGGATGATGAGGTGTCATTCCCATGATTATCTTACATTATGGAAAACCCCCTCTTGACAGGCAACAAAAGCAAAACTAGACAAATGGGACTACATCAAACTTAAAAACCTCTGTATATCAAAGGAAACAATCAACAGAGTGAAAAGGCAACCTAAGGAATGGGAGAAAATATTAGCAAATCGTCTATCTGATAAAAGGTTAATATACAGAATACAGAAAGAACTCATACAGCTCATCCATAAAAAACAAATAAACTTTAAAAATGGCCAAAGAACTTATATGGACATTTTTTCAATGAAGATATAAAAATGGCCAACAAACATATGAAAAGATGTTCAACGTCACTAATCATCAGAGAACCGCAAATCAAAATCACAGTGACCTATCACCTCCCACCTTTTAGGATGACCACTACCCCACTCAAAAAAAAAAAATCCGAAAACAAAAGTTAAACCCAGAAAATAACAAGCGCTGGTACAGATATGGAGAAAAGAGAACCCTCATGTAGTGTTGGTGGGAATGTAAAATGGCGCAGCCTCTATGGAAAACGGTGTACAGGTTCCCCCAAAATTAAAAATAGACCATATGATCTAGCAATACCATTTCTGAGTATAGATCCTACAGAATTGAAAATGGGATCTTGAAAAGATATTTGCACACCTATGTTCACTGTACTATTATTCATAAGAGCCAGCAGCCATTAGAAACGACAAATACCCACCATTTGCTTCAACGTGGATAGAACTGGAGGGTATTATGCTGAGTGAAGTAAGTCAATCGGAGAAGGACAAACATTGTATGGTCTCATTCATTGGGGAATATAAAAAATAGTGAAAGGGAATAAAGGGGAAAGGAGAGAAAATGAGTGGGAAATATCAGTGAGGGTGACAAAACATGAGAGACTCCTAACTCTGAGAAATGAACAAGGGGTAGTGGAAGGGGAGGCGAACGGGAGGATGGGGTGACTGGATCACGGGCACTGAGGGGGGCACTTGACGGGATGAGCACTGGGTGTTATGCTATATGTTGGCAAATCGAACTCCAATAAAAAAAATATACCAAAAAAGGGGATCCCTGGATGGCTCAGCAGTTTAGTCCCTGCCTTCGGCCCAGGGCATGGTCCTGGAGTCCCAGGATCCAGTCCCACATCAGGCTCCCTGCATGGAGCCTGCTTCTCTATGTCTCTGCCTCCCTCTCTGTGTGTCTCTCAGGAATAAATAAATAAAATCTTTAAAAAAAATATATATATATATATATATACAAAAAAATAAATAAACCTATCTTCTAGTTTACAAAAAAAAAAGCCAGAAGGTGGAAGCAACCTAAATGTCCCTCAATGGATAGATGGATAGAGAAATGTGGCATATGATGTGATTGTACTCATATGTGGAATTTAAGAAACAAAACAAATGAGCAAAGAGGGAAAAGAGAGAGAAAGAGACAAAACAAAACAAAACACAGACTCTTAAGTGTAGAGAACAAACTGAAGGTTACCAGAGGGGCGGTGGATGGACAGGTTCAGTGAAATAGGTGAGGGGGATTAAGGAGTGCACTTGTCATGATGAGCACCAAGTGATGTATGGAAATGTTGAATCACTATATTGTACACCTGAAATTAATATTACACTGTAGGTTAACAAACTGGAATTTTTTAAAAGATTTATTTATTCATGAGAGACACAGAGAGAGAGGCAGACATAGGCAGAGGCAGAAGCAAGCTCCTCGCAAGAAGCCTGATGTGGGACTCGATCCCGGACCCCAGGATCATGCCCTGAGCTGAAGGCAGACACTCAACTGCTGAGCCACCCAGGTGTCCCAACAAACTGGAATTTAAATGAAGACTTTAAAAAATAAAATTTGTGAAACTTTGCATAGAAAAAAAAGAAATGTGGTATATATATACAATGGATTACTATTCAACTTTTTAAAAGAAGTCTTAAAATAAGCTACAACATGGATAAACCTTGAAGACATTATGCTAAGTGAAATAAGCCAGTCACAAAAATACAATGTACGATTCCCTAATATGAGATATCTAAAGTCTTTAAACTCAGAACAGCTGGAATACTACAGAGAGAAAAGTGATCACCTCTTACAAGGTAGGAGTGTGCAGAAAAGAAAGGGAGGGGATGTATCAGAGGATAAAATGGCATGGAGAGGGAGCCTTTGTAAGCTGCTTCAGGAAAGCAGTACAGTGCACAATCGGGAACTTTAGAAATCTGCTCCTGAGAGTCTTCCTTGCCTGAAAAGTGCTCAATGGGGAAATAGCACAGAATCGCAGGAGGGGCAGTGAGGTCTCAATATTCCCGCAGACACAAAGAACAGGGGTGCTTGGGAAAAAGCTCAACTTGTGCCATAAACCACAAGCCGCAGTCGGATTGGGGGAACGATGTTGTCCTATGTCCCATTAAAGGACTGGAACGCAGCCACCCTCCACGGGCATCCAAGTGGAACACATGTGCACTCAAGTGGGTGAACGTCCCAGGGCCTGGCAGTGGAGAGAAGCGGGCTGTACTCCGTTCCTCCGGGAGAAGCAGAGCCAGTGAGCACACAAGACAGCAAAAGCCCTGCCACTGACCAGCACCCTTCAAATTGTAGGAATCTGTTCCCCCATGCCTGCCCACAGGAGGATCTAAGTCAGTGTCCACTGAGAGACTACAGTTCGGTACATGGGCAGAGCTCTTGTCTCCAGGGCTGGAGATCTGGCCACCACCATTTTTTCCCCTCCTTTTACCCTGGAGAGGTGAGACTCCAAGGAACAAATGCCTAATAGAGCAAACAACTTACACTGAACCCTGTCATCTGGCAAGGGGCGGGGCATCTCTGCCCAGGCACAGACACCTGAGAATCAGTGCAGTAGGCTCCTCCCCCAGAATACCAGCTGGAAGAACAGGGGAACAGCGAGTTTACTGATCAAACAGCACCGGAAAGCTCCGAGACTGAGGGAAAATAGTATATAGAACTCAAGGGGTTTTGCCTTATGATTCATTTATCTTTCAGGTTAAAAATTTCCAATGTTCTTTCTCTTTTCTTGTTTTAACTACAATATTTTATCAACTCTTCATTTTTAAGTTTTTTTTCCTTTTTGACTTTCATATTTTTACAATTACAAGTCATAGATAGTCTTCATTTTTGGCTTCCTTTCTTCCAATGTATACAATTTAAGTTTTGTAGATATATAAGTTTTTTTGGGGGGTTGTCTTGTTTTGTTTTATAGTTTTGGAATTTAGTACCTTCTAACATATGGACCAAAATATACTCAGAACCAAATGAAACACCATGTTAGTCCACTCTGTGAGATTATATTCTCTCTTCTTTCCCATTTCACCCCCCTCTTTTGTCTTCTTGTTTTTGTTTTTGTTGTTGCTGTTGTTTCTCTATATAAGTTTTGCTTTTTTAATATAAATTTGGAATTTAGTACGTTCTAACATATAGACCAAAATACACTCAGAATCAAGAGGATCACTGTCTTGGTCTACTCTATGAGACTATATTCTCTCTCCCCCACCACATCCTTCCCCTCCCTTTTTAAATTTTTCACTTTTTTTAAATTTGTTTTTCACTTTCATGGTCTTTTTAAAATTCTTTTTCTTTTATGACTGGTCCCTGATCTCTTCATAATTGTCTAGGGTGTATTTTACTTAGGTCATGGTTGATATTTTTGACTCTGCTCACTCATACAGCCATTCTGCACTGGACAAAATGACTAGAAGGAAGAATTCACCATAAAAGAAAGAACCAGAAGTAATACTCTCTGCTACAGATGTAATGGATATGGATTTAAGTAAGATGTCACTGACACAATACAGGATTACAATTATAAAATTACTGGTGGCTCTTGAAAAAAGCATAAAAGACTCTAGAGATTCTCTTACTGCAAAATTGAGATCTAATCAGGCCGAAATTATAAATACCTTAACTGAGATGCAGTCTAAACTGGATACTCTAACAGCTAGGATTAATGAGGCAGAAGAGAAAGTGAGTGATGTAGAAGACAAGTTGATGGAAAGGAAGGAAGCTGAGGAAAAGAGAGAAAAACAACTAAGAGCCCATGAGGAGAGACTTCAGGAATTAACTGATAGTTTGAGAAAGAATAATATTCACCTTATTGGGATTCCAGAGACATAGAGAGAAAGAGAGGACCAGAAAGTATGTTTGAACAAATCAAAGAGGAGAACTTCCCTAATCTAGGGAAGGAAACAGGCATACATATTCAAGAGATGGGGAGAAACCTCCCCCCCAAATCAACAAAAAACGATCAACACCTTGACACATAATAGTGAAGCTTGGAAATTTCAGAGATAAAAGGAAAATACTAAAAGCAGCTCGAGACAAGAGATTCCTAACTTACATGGAGAGAAATATCAGATTAACAGCAGGCCTATCCACAGAGAACTGGCAGGCCAGAAAAGCCTGGCATGATATATTCAGGGTACTAAATGAGAAAAACATGCAGCCCAAACTACTTTATCCAGCAAGGCTGTCATTCAGAATAGAAGGAGAGATAAAGAGCTTCCAGGATAGACAGAAACTGAAAGAATACATGACCACCAAATCAGCTCTACAAGAAACATTAAGGGGGACCCTGTAAGCAAAGAGGGAGCCCAAAGAAACAAACTGCAGAAACAGAGACTGTATAGGTAACACTATTATTTGCAAGATGAAAAATTGCTAGAGATTTGTTATACAACATGCATATAGCTAACACTATGGTATTGCACAAATGGTTAAAAATGGTTGAGTTGGTAAATTTTATGTGGGTTTTTTTTTCTCAATTAAAAGAAAAGACTATCTTGCTAGCAGACTACTCTGTAGACTCTCCTTGCTGGCTTGATGAAGTAAACAGCCATACTGGGTGAGTCCACGTGATAAGGAACTGCAGGCAGCTTCTAGAAACCACAGGTAGCCTCAACCAACAGCCAGAAAGAAGCCAACATCGTTAGTCGAGGAAATGAATTCTACCAGTGCCAACAACTGGAGCTCGCAAGTGGATTCTTCTTTGGCCATACTCCCACATGAGAATGCAGCCTGGCTGATGCCTTGAGTAGAGGAACCAGATAAGCCATGCCTGGACTCCCAACCTACAGAAACTGCAATAATAAATGTATGTAATTTAAGCCACTATGTTTGTGGTCATTTGTTATGTGGCAAAAGATAAACAATACAAAAGGGATGGTATAAAAAACTTGCTTCCAAATAACTGCCTTGCTCCTGTGGAACTCTAAATAAAAAGGGCTCATGGTGGATACTAATGGCCCTTGGGCCAACAAGACCAGTCTTAAGTTATAAACATTCAGAGACTTGGAATATATTCATGTCTTTGCCTGAAAGTCACTCAGCTTATACATCTGCTGGTTTCCAGGAGGTATTTTCTACAGATTTAACACAATTGCCAAGAAGAGGGAAAAAAGTCATGGTCACATGTCTTAAAGTTCAACCCCAGGGTCTCAGGGTCTCTCTACCATAATTCTTTATGATCTTCAGTGAGAGCCCCATGGAGTACAATAGTAACAGCCTGGGATAGGTTTAGACTAGGATAATAAATTTATAGATTCATCTTATAAATACATAGGGATATGTATGGGATAACTTGTTTTAACATGAGAATGTCTCTGCCTCAGTGTAATAATACAACCTCTCATTTTTTGGTTTGTTATAGGCATTCTTTATGGCAATGGTCAGAAATGAGCAGAACTGGGCATATCCATGGGATTTCAAATATGATCACCCCTATTTCTGCATGTTTCCAAACAATATCTACCACTCCTGATCTGTCTTTGACCAAAGAGATTCTTATCCCCACTTCTTGTCAAGCCAGTGGAATGGAGACTTTCTGACCTTTTGGCTCCCTTTTTCCTTACAAGTGTATAAAGTGGAAGTAGCTAGGGGTGGGGTGTGCTGTGAGATGGACAAAAGTAGGCAATAGGGGTAATTGGAAGCATGCAGGCCATCCATCCCATCTGTGGCCATGCTGAGCCAGAAACTCAAATGTGGTTAGTCTTCCATGGCAGGTCAAAGTCATTGTCTCGGACATTGTCTCCACAACTTCCCAGATGTGCCAGCAGAAAGGAAAGGACTTTCTTGGTGCCAATGAAAAAAGACACTGATTGGCATGGCTTGGAACACAATATTGACAAAGCAGGTGGCACACTCTGATTGGCAGCCCCCCTATTACCACCAAGGAGAAGCACCTATTTGTGTGTAGGGGGAAAATAATTTTTCAAAAGCAGGAAATGCTTTTCTGGGAAACAACTAGCCATCCATTACAAGCCCTGACCTTTCCTCTTGTTCAGTTTATTTCAGACTATACCATGAAGTCCTAGTTCCAGTCATACCCATGCTCCCTGTGGTGAGCAGTGAGTTCCTCTTTTGCCTAAACTAGTTAGAATCAGATACCATCACTTGCAAACAGGAGGCCTGATTAATATCTTACTTATTACTGATCAGCCTCTTGACTGCAGCCTAAAGTAACGTAATACTTTACATTTACAAAGAGAAGTCTCACACTTTTGGTGGTCCACCCCTAAAGATGAAACAGATTTCCAGGTCCTAATGTATGATTTCTCAAATAAAGAAAAATGATATAGAAAAAATCTTGGCCCAAAACAGGGTGTTTTCTGGGGCTGGCTGTTTTTATTGATCATTCCCAAAGGGTGTCACCCACACATAGAAAGAAGACCCCCTCTGGGGAAGACCCAAACACTAGTCTATCCCAAGTATTATAACCTGTGTAATACAGATGTCAGATGTTATCAAAATTTAGCTCGTTTTAGCTAGAGCAAGCATATCTGGAGAGTTATCTCAAATTATACTTTCATGTAATGAGGACCTGAATTCAGTGTTTCTCTGGCTTCACATCAACAAAATTACATCCCTGCTCACCTAGCACTTCCAGGAATCTTCCCAAGGACACACTCAGAAACCTGGGCCATATTTGGACAGAAAGATGTTCATCAAAGCATTATTTATCATGGAAAAAATCTAAATCTTCAACAAGAGAATGGTAATAAACTCCACAGAATTGAACTCTAAGAAGCTATTACAGTTTTTTAAAAATTTAAAAATACCTAATGACATGGAAAAATACACCACAAATGTTAATAGTAATAAAGCTAACAGGCCAGGTGCTATTCTGAGTACTTTACACGTATTACCTCATTTAATCCTCACAACAACTAACTATATTAAGGATATTCTTATTTACTCATCATAGACATAGAAATGGTGACTTACCAAGGTTAAGTAGATGACATGGTCGCACAGATGGGGCATTCAATTCCAAAGTTGTAGTAGCTAAGCAGCCACCACACTGCTCTGAAAGATAGAAATTATAGTTATAGGATACCAATGTTATCATTACATGCATACACATAGAGGTAATTTTTAAAATATTTTTAAAGGTACAACAAAAAAGCACAAACCAGTCAGAACAGACACTACAACCAATCAGAATGGAAGCCAGATGTAAACAACCAAAATGGCATCTAGTTTGTTAGCTTTTGCTGTATAACAAACTACCCCCAAAACTTAGTAGCTTAAAACAGCCATTTTATTGGCTCATGATTCTTTGAGTTGATGTGGCCTGAGATCAGCGAGGTGGTTATTCTGTTGGTTTTGCCTCGAGTTACTGGTATGACTACAAACACCTGACAGCTCAATTGGGATTGGATGGCCCAAGATGGCCTCACTTACATATCTTGCAGTTGGTGCTGGCTACCAGCTGGACCCTACTCTTCATGAAGTCTTTTTCTTTAAGATTTTATTTATTTATTTATTTATGAGAGACACACAGAGAGATAGGCAGAGACACAGGCAGAAGGAGAAGCAGGCTCCTTGCAAGGAGCCCAATGCGGTACTCGATCCCAGATCCCAGGATCACGCCCTGAGCCGAAGGCAGACGCTCAACCACTGAGCCACCCAGGCGTCCCTTCATGAGGTCTTTCCTCCTCAAGGAGGCTAACTCAAGTTTCCTCATACGGTGGCAGCAGTGCTCCAAGAGGGCATGAGCAGAATCTTTAAGATCTTTTGAGGTGTTGCTTAGAAGTTATACATCACCACTTCTACAGCATTCTATTGGTCAAGGCAAGCCACAAAGCCAGTCCAGATTCAAGGAATGGGGAAATAGACTCTACCTCTTGATGACAGGAGCTGCAATGAATTTGTGGCCATTTAAAATCTACTACACTGTATACACCAACTGAGTATCAGCCCTGTATGTATATGTACATAGAAAAAAAGACTGGAAGGAAATCAACCTAACAGGATTATTTTTATGAACTTTTTGTATTTCTGCCATTCCCCAATTTTCTTAATAAATATCTATTACCTTTATAAGTAGAAAACCCTAACACCTTCCATAATAGTTTAACAGGGCAGGTTAGACAGCTTCACTTTGGCATGGAAATCAACATAATTTCTCCTTTCCTAGCTCTGTCACTTCCTACCTTTGACAGTTTTGTAACCCTTCAGAGCTTCCAATTTTCTCAGCCATAAAGATGGAGCTAACATCACCTATTTCACAAGACAGTTGTAAAGATCAAATGAGACAATGAATATAAAACACCCACAACATGCCTTGGTGGTTTCCCTTCCTCCCACTCCACCTGTACCAAGACCTCCTTAGTTTTATAGGAATTCTCTTTCTCACAAAGCTTAAACTCTGTTGTAGTAAACTACATACACACACATCTCTAAAAGTAAACTGTATGCCCTGAGGGCTGGTTTCCAGACTTAATCCACTCCCAAGTACCTAGCACAAGACTCAGTAAATTCTTGTTGATTCATTAACCAAATCAAAGTTTTCCACTTAATCCCTTTTTCTGCAGTTTTAAATATAAATTCCCGTATCAAGAGTAATGTTGGTTATCCAATGTATGTATCCCTGATGATGGAAAAGCCTAACGTGGTTCACCACAAGAAAATTCAAATTTCTTATGGTTCTAAGCCTCTACATGTACACAAATACAGTCACAATGTTGATTTTTTTTGTTTTTTTTGGGGTTTTTGTTTGTTTGTTTAGCCATCCACTTTTCAGGATAGGCTCTTCTTGCAGCACCTGGCTAGCTCAGTTGGTAGAGCGTGTGACTCTTGGTCTCAGGATTGTGAGTTCAAGCTCCAGGTTAGGTGGAGAGATTACTTAAAAAATAAAATCTTATGAAGAAACGGCTCTTCTTGCCATAAGAAGCAATTTCTGTTTTCATAAAAGCATGAAATTAAAACTGGGAAAATAGAATACGTAGAAGAAAGTGAAATAAATTTTAACGAAACAATCATTATTCTGAAAAAACTATGCAACCCAAACTGAAAACAGCCTTGCTATTGCTTCAACAAGGCAGCTATCACTAGTGCTTAGTTATGGAGGGTCTAATTTACGTTATCAGTAATCACATAGGTAACATGCTCTCATAGTTCCTCCCACAAGTTAGATCCAAACAGAGTAGAGAGAAGAGAGTATGAATGGTCATCCATGTATCATGGTGTCAGGAAAGACACAACCTAACGTGGCTTAGGCAGATGCAAATCAATGCTATTTTTAAAGATCTTTGAGAAAGACATTTCATAAACTCCCAGATGACTCACTATGCATAACATCTCCAGAGGGTGGGAAGGGCAACAAAGAGCCTACTTTTGCTTTCTTTTTTACATACAGGATATTGCTAACAAATGCAGAGAATCAATTGTTGAATGTTTGTGGTCATCTGGTGATAGTCCACCTCTCATTCCACACTGAGAAAGCTGTGAGCCCCTTTTATGCTTTGGCTCCTCCTGGAATCCAGGCAGAGTGGCCAAAGCAAGCCCCCAGGGCCTCTGTCTGGGAAGGTGGGTTGTAAAACAAAAACTGTATCTGCAAGAGGCCGGAACACTTGTTCCAGTGGGAACAACTGAAAAAGAGCTATACTCTAATTCAACCGTTCTGAAACATTTTGTTCTCAGGACATTTAAAAATTACCGAAGAATCCAAAAAGCGTATCTTTGAAAATTCTATGAAACGTAAGAATACACAAGCACACATCCCGTTAGTCACCAGAGCAATGTTATCACACATTCTGTAAATCTGTGATCATTTCAAAATGAAAAGTTAAAGAAAAGGGGGGGAAAGCAGCACAGAGAATGGAGCAAGTAGGGATTACATCAACTTTCAACAGCCATGGAAGCCAGAAGGTAACCCGACATCACCACTACGCTGAAAGAAAATAACATCCAACCCCAAACTCTATAAACAGTGAAAGAAATCCTTCAAGATGAATTGAAGACATATTTAGACAACCAACGCAGAAATTTTTTCTGTCCTGAAGGAAATTGTGAAAAGTGCCCGTCAGGCAGGAGAGTGTTTCCACAAGGAAGGTCAGAGATTTAACAAAGAATAAGAAGGAAAAAAAAATTAGGAAAGAACGCTGTGCTAACTCTAAAAATTACAAGTATGAGAGAAAAATTATTGAGGAATCCAAATAGTTTACCTTAGGAAACTGTAGAAAACACAAGAATATACAAGCACGCATTACGTTAGTCATCAGAGCAGTGACTTCATCACACACACACATCAGGTCGCCTCTGGAAAATTCCCACAAGAATGAAAAGGGGCAGTGACGCCTCACTATTATTATGAAACTCGTTTTGACACAGACTCCCTGAAAGGACCCTGAGATCTGCAGGGTCCCCCACAGCACACTTTAGAGAACCGCTGCTCTCATCCTCGTGTTGCCCAGGGCAGGTTCTCCTGAGTTCCACTCCCGACCGGCCAAGGGAGAAACGGCAAGGTCACCGGCCCGGGTTCACAAGAGGAACTACTCTTTGTCCTTTCGCAAAGGTGACCGGGTGACGCACAAGCTAGGAAGTCGGGTTTCCGGGAAGGCGTCGAGAGGCGCCGCGAGAGGGCGCCCCGAGAGAAGCCCGGGCGCGCCTCGCCCCTCCCGCCCCCCTGCCCGCGCCCCCGCCCGCGCCCGCGCCTGCGCCCGCCGTGTTCACACGGAAGCCCGGAAGAGGGGGAGGCGCCCGGAAGAGGGGGGCGGTCGCGGCCTCATTGGACGAGCTGCCTCCGCCTCACGCCCGGAGGCGGGGCTACTTGGCCCTAAAAAGCGGGACCCGGCGGCCGCTAAAGCGCGCCGTTCTGGTCGCAGTCTGGCCGACGTGCTCGTTGCTCGCCGAGGTCCGCCGGGTCATGGTGCCAGCCTGACTGGGAAGAGGACGCTCCGGGGAGACGAATGAGGAACCACCTCCTACTACTGTTCAAGTACAGGGGCCTGGTCCGCAAAGGGAAGAAAAGCAAAAGACGAAAATGGCTAAATTCGTGATCCGCCCGGCCACCGCCGCCGACTGCAGTGACATCCTGCGGCTGATCAAGGTAGCGGGAGGCCCGGGCCGCCCCTGGGGCTGGGGAGGGGGAAGGTGGGGAGCGGCTCCGGCGGGTTCCCCTTTGTCCGCCCGCTTCCCCCAGCTTCAGCCGGGCCGCTCGATTCTGGGAACGAATCGCCGCCCCGCCCACCCGTTCCCTCTGAGCTGCCTGGGCCAGGGCCTCGCTTAGTTTTCTCCCTCTCTCCCTTTCTCCCATGTGCATCGCCCCAGGAACTGGCTAAATACGAATACATGGAAGAGCAAGTAATGTTAACTGAAAAAGGTAACGCGATTGTACCAGGGCGGGGGAAGGGTGTCTGGTACTTGGCATCTTCACCGAGGCCATCACTGTCCCCGATGCCCCTTCTTGCAGATCTACTAGAGGATGGTTTCGGAGAGCACCCTTTCTACCACTGCCTGGTTGCAGAAGTGCCCAAGGAGCACCAGTCTCCGGAAGGTAACGCCCCCCCGCTTCCAGAAGCCAAACACCAAGTGTTGTATAAAACATAGAGTGTCTGTTGTGTAGAACCCCTGACAACGCAGGCCAAAGTTACTCAGAAATTGGCCAGAAATAATAGCCAGTGTTCAAACTACTGAGGAAAAAGAAAATAGATGTCCTGCACATAATAATAGGGCGGGTTGAAAGAGCTGTTTAAGTAAGTATCAGAATGCTGTGGAGACCTGGAAGGGTTAGGTATAATGTCATTTATTGTAATTCAGTTCTTGTTTGACCCTAACGTAACCTTTTTTGTAATTGTGTTAAATCACATTTTTTTCTTTAATTTGTCCCAATCTTCAGGTTACAGTCTCTAGCTTCGCCATGTACATGGCCCTTCCGTGTACATGGATGGGCGGGGAGGTAACTAAAAGATCCTTTACACAATAAAGTAGATGATCATGATAAATGAGGTAAGGTCCTATTATCACACACTTAAAACACGGTAGATCAGAAACTCCAGTGTACTCTCTTCCTGTGTTTGCAAAGGACTATAAAATGGCTAGAAAGTTTAATTTGAAACCTTTGCCTCCATTTGAAATTATAGACACCCTATTTTTATAGGGAGTCAGATTGTTTTATTTTTTTTGCTGGTCCCTGTTGACTGGTCAGAAGACAGAGCTAAAAGGGGAAGTTGTTTGGGTGGGTGCTTCACTTTTTTCTTAAGTCTCTTCCCCAAGCTAGAAGAAATGAACAGAAAACATAAGGGATGAGGTACTTTTTGGAGGTATGTGGCTGTTACATAAGAGCTATTTCTGGGTACCTCTGCTTCTTCTGGCTTAAAACTGGGGAGAGCAAATTGAAAATCTGAATTGGAAGGCAAGTTCTGAAATTAAACGTTACACTTTTGATGGCCTGATGTCCTGACCTTAAGGAAGCAGAGTTTCTAATCTACAAATATTTACTATTCTGAACTGCCGTGTAAACCCGACTTATTCCCAAGTCAACATACCAATATATCAATAGGATGTGAATAATGTGTGTGTTTAGTTTAAGACTACAGCAGTTTTGCTCTGGCAAGTAATGAAAGTCTCACTTCCTGGGGTGTAAGATCCAGCAGATCGCAGAGCCGCCAGTCCCATGATTTTAGCCTCGCTTCAGCTAGCTCTAATGTGTGCTTTTTGCAAATACATGTCCTGAGAACAGTGAGATCATCCAACAGTGGCCTGGACTGCACTAGCATAAAAATCAGGAGACAGTCCCGTTTCAGTGCCTACTTCTATAATACGTGCATGTTTATTTTCTAAAACCTATGATAGGCTTCTGATTTTGCAGCTACAACTTTTATGGGTTGCTTTTCGTTCACATCTCATGTGATATTCTTATTACAGGACACAGTGTTGTGGGTTTTGCCATGTACTACTTTACCTATGACCCATGGATTGGCAAACTGTTGTATCTTGAGGACTTCTTCGTAATGAGTGATTATAGAGGTATGGCTGAGTTTAGGAGGAGATGCCCTAAAGAGAAACCAGGACTTAACATCCTGAAGATGACTTTTTAAATGGTACTTCTCTTTCTTTTAGGCTTTGGCATAGGATCAGAAATTCTGAAGAACCTAAGCCAGGTACATCTTGGTTTGAGGGGAGGGGCAGGGGGTTTGGTTTCCAGATTTGTAAGGGTTACTGAATTATTTTAATGACTGGAACAGATTTGGGTCTTGGAAAGCAGGTGAAATGTCACTGAGTTTGTTTTACTCTCCCTTATAATAGGTTGCGATGAAATGTCGCTGCAGCAGCATGCACTTCTTGGTAGCAGAATGGAATGAACCATCTATCAACTTCTACAAAAGAAGAGGTGCTTCTGACCTGTCCAGCGAAGAGGGATGGAGACTCTTCAAGATCGACAAGGAGTACTTGCTAAAAATGGCAGCAGAGGAGTAAGGCGTGCCGGTGCAGACGATGACAGCTTCCATTCTATTTTAGATTAAGTTCTCAACTGATCTTGCTTTCTATCCTGTTTGTAGTCAAATAATAGAATGAACACCCATTCCAAAGCTTTATTACCAGTGGCGTTGTTGCATGTTTGAAATGCGGTCTGTTGAAGATGGCAATCTTGTATGCAGTTTGGAGTCAGATTTCTCCTTGAACATCTTTTGATAAACAAGGTGGTATGATCTTAATGTATATGAAAAAAACTTCATTCTTGTGAGTCATTTAAATGTGTACAATGTACACACTGGTACTTAGAGTTTCTGTTTTGATTCTTTTTTAATAAACTGCCCTTTGATTTAATTGGTATACGCATTTTGACTAATCTTTATTTCTCGAGTCATTTTTCTTGCTGTTGAATGCAAAGTAAAAATGGCCAAGAAACATTAACTTGATAACCTTAAAATTGTTTACAGCCCATTTTTAACCCAATTTAAAGTGGTCATGAGCTGTTTGTTCTCAAAGTCTAGAAAGAAGCCAGTTGAATTCCATGGTTTTCTAGGAAGCAGCATACAAAATGACTTTACACTGGTGACACTGTATGCTTCACCTGACAGAATTTTCAAGAGCTGAGCACCAGGTTAGAAAGTGAAGCCCATTTTTTAACCAAGTGAAAGGCGGAGATGGAATTCTCAATCACTGGGAATGGAAGGGGGCACACATCTTTCCCACAACAGCCTCATCCCATACAAAATGCTATTTGAAGGGAAAGTGGATCACTTTGCTAATCAGGCAGGCATGAACCAACTTTTTAACAGGAAATGTGCAAATAAAAAGGTTAGAGGCAGGTGCAGGTACCAGTCAGGGAAATTAGTTTATTTGGAGGGCCAGTCTATGGTACTGTAGTACCACAATGGGCTCCTCTGTGGAAAAACCAATAGTGCTTCAAACAGGGTGGTAAACAAAAGCTTTCTCCAGAACTGAAAATGAAACTATGAAGGGGCATGAGAAAGAGATAGTCTTAGATAAATATTATGTCTTTAAAAAAAAAAAGTTGTACTTTTCAGTAATCTCTACACCCAACATGGGGCTCGAACTCACAACACCAAAGTCAAAGGTTGTACACTCGCACCCCTGTTACCTCCTTTTATTACTCATTACATTGAGCTAAATTCCTAAACCCAGCAATCCCCATAATAAAGAAAATGGTAATTAATAAGAACCACTGTGCTGATTTCCAAAATTAACGTTTCCCAACTCATCAGATACCTGAAAAACAATGATCCCTCTCTGTGTTCTCCAGGAAAGAAATACTAAGCTGCTCAGTGAAAGGGGGCTATCGCCCGGCATTCCTTGTTTTGGTATCTGTTCTGTCTTCCTAAATGTCTGTTCTGGCTTCCCTAAACCAGTGGGATCCTGTACTGTACTACTGAATACAAGAGAGCTTTGGGATTTATTGGTGGCTCAGAGAACATGCTATGAAGTTTCCAGAGTCCAGGGTCCTGCTGGGATGATAAGTAACTAGGAGAGAGAAGCTGGCAAACATAAAAAGGGTTAATTAAAACACAGAGAGCCTTGTGGGGAAAGAAGGCATTTTGAAGACTGTGTTGTGGAAAGTGGGCCTCTTTGAGGAAAACAGTTACATGCTGACTGTGGTTAAATACGTGAATAAATTAGATTAACCAACCGAGTTACAATATAACTCTTTGTTTTCTCGTTCTTCTTAGAGTTTAGCCTAAAAATCCAGTGTTGTCACATGGAAGCTTTTATGAAGGTCATGTCCACTCTTAAGAAGCCCCTCACGTTTAAAATACAGAAGCTGATGCACCACAGTATCAGCCCACTGAATGCTTAGCTGAATTGCAAAGACACCTCTTGAAAACCTAAACCGTAAAACAAATCTGTAAAGCTTGAAATCCTTAGGCAAGTAAGAAAACGTGTTCTGGGAAATTTTATGAAAGGAAATAGAAGACAATGGTAAAACCAGAAAGTGGGGAGAAAGATAGCTTCCTGTAAGGATAACTTTAGGGCAGCCCGGGTGGCTCGGTGGTTTAGTGCCACTTTCAGCCCAGGGCCTGATCCTGGAGAC